GTGGGGCGGCAGCCAGGACCCCGGGCGTGGGGTGGCAGCGGAGCCCGCAGAGCCCCAGGCGTGGGGCGGCAGCCAGGACCCCGAGCACAGAGTGGCAGCGGAGCCCGCAGAGCCCCAGGCATGGGGCGGCAGCCAGGACCCCGGGCATGGGGTGGCAGTGGAGCCCGCAGAGCCTTGGGCGTGGGGCGGCAGCCAGGACCCTGGGCGTGGAGCGGCAGTGGAGCCCTGCATAAAATGTGGGGGTGCTGCAGCACCCCCCGTACCCCTAGTTCCCGTGCCTATGTTTTGGGGGGCCCTGTCATTGGGGGCCCCGTGCCACGGCACAGTATGTTTTAGGGTAAATCTGCTCCTGACTCAAACAGCGATGGGCAAACAGGTCTTGATAAAATAAGTCACCCCTCGTCCCAAACCAAATGCAAAGTGAACAATTCGCAAGGTTCAAAAAGTCTTGTTTACTTTTAATTTTTTTCTTTTCAAAGTCTACTAGTACCCTCTGGTTTCAGCTAGGAAGTTCTGAAATAACATGAGAACAGTGTTTCTGGCGAGATTTCAAGCCCTATTTCTAACTGTATGTGCTCTTCACTTTTCTCTTCTATATATGGAAGGGAGAGGGAGGTTGCTTGTTTGGGAGCTCTGCTTCTTTAGGTAAAAGGTTATCATCTTAAAAGGACAGGCATAACCACAACAACCAAGACTAGGTGAAAATAATCATTTTAAAACAGTTTTAAAACAGATAAAAAGAGAGAAGAAGGAGGGATTTCACACAGTCTGTTGAGCTTAAGAGGGCAGCAGCTGTTGAAACACACAGCTACCCAAAGACTACTAGTGTTATTCTGTCTGTTATTTGGGTTCTCCAATGGAATCTCCCTCCTAGGTGCCCCAAAGTTCTACAATCTATTCACCTGAGAGAGATAAGCCTGCATAGCCCTTTTATGTTGTGCTTCTTTGACCAAAGCCAGTAAAAAATGCAGTGAGCCAAAAAGAAAAGTAAAACCACCCACAGTAGCTGTTTGAGGTCAACAGAATATTTAAACATGTGGGTTCCTAATGGCAAGTGATCATCAGTACATGAATCAGAGGCACTCACAAAATCCGATTCCTCCCAAAGTGAAAGGAGAGATCATTGTCAGTTCCCAGGGGT